GTGGTCCAGTGGGTTAACACCCTGGCCTGAAGCTCTGGCATCCCATATGGGCACCGGTTCTAGTCCCAGCTGCTCCACTTCCAATCCAACTCTCTGCTGTGGCTTGGGAAAGCAGTAGAAGATGACCCAAGTCTTTGGGTTCCTGCACCTGCGTGGGAGACCCGCAAGAAGCTCCTGGCTCCTGGCTTCAGACTGGTGCAGTTCCAGCAGTTGCGGCCACCCAGGGAGTGAACCATCAGATGGAAAATGTCTCTCTCTCTCTCTCTCTCTCTCTCTCTCTCTCTCTCTCTGTACTTCTCTCTCTGTGTAACTCTGACTTTCGAATAAATCAAAAAAAAAAAAAAAAAAAAAAGGAAACATAGCTACCTCAAAGTTCCTGGCATTGTCTACTGACTATCTCTGCGTTTTGCGGCAGGCTATACTATCTCTGAACTTTAGGTTCTTCAACCATCAAAGATTAATAATGCATTATCCATCAACAATCTGTTTAGGCTGGATCTCACAGTCACTATAACTACAGTTTCTAACTATTGACCTCATGATGTGCTTACAGATGTTTTTAATAGAACAAAACGGCAAGTAAGTCTTCCTGAAGTGAACTGCTGCTATGAGTGGCTAGCCAATTTTGATATGAATTTGCTACAGATTATATGCAGCTTATAATGTAGGAAATGCCAAAAGAAGAATAAAAAGAAAGCATTTTAAGTAAAAGAGGTCTATACCTATCTTTTTATTACCTCCACCAGAAAACCTTATTCTTTGTAAATTTATTATTTGCCTGAAAAAAGTATACAGATTAACCAAAAACTCTTTTTACAGCTATCATGATGACTTAGTTCTTAGTCATTCTCTTTCTTATAGAAATTAAGTAGTCAAACTTAAATGAAAGAATTGTAGTTCCCAACCAAACTGTGGGAATTATAGTAGCAGCAGTAGTTGTAGTAGTGGGAACTGTGGTGTTGGTAGTAGTTATAGAGACACCATCACCTTTCAATTTTAGACTCTTAAAATTCACTAATGGATTTTCTTTAAAAAAAAAAAAAAAAAACTTCCCGAAATCCTAGCAAGTCAAGTATTTTTCTCTGTACAAAATTATTCACATATTGATCCTAGAACAAAATACCAAAGGGAGAAAAGGCAGCACAGCTAGATATTTCTTCAAGAATGTTTTAGCAATAATTAGTATTTAGAAGGGATAACTACAGTTACTCTACTGATTGTACAATTTGTTATTTCAAAAGAAATAGGCTCTGGATCTTTGTTTTCTTGACATATATCATTTACCTTTTTCTAACATGCATATGTGCATACTGTCTGTATAGATGATCATATGCTCCTAATATAGTTTACCAGACTATGGGAGATTTTGTGTTATTCTGTATTTCCAAAACTGATATTTTCTTTCGTGGTTTCATCTGTGTTCAATTCTGCCCATAGAACATTAATGAATCAAAACAAAGCAATCTTAATGCCTTCATAATAGACAGCATAATAAAGATTTCATACTAAAGATTTCAAACAGGGCAATTGCTGAGTTGATGATTTGTAGCAAATTAAAATATTTGAGCAATTAATTTTTCATGAAACCCTAAGTTAAAACCTATGGTTTGTTTCACGTAGTCATACTATATCCTTTGCAAAACATTAGTTTTTCAATGATACCGATATTTTTAAACAATTTAACCTAATTGTACTAAGTATACATATTTTTTTCTTTACAATTGAAAATTCAAGTGTTATGTTTTACTTTTCACATTCACTGTTGGTTGAGTATAAATAAACCAGGTAACAAAAGTATGAATTTGGTAAATACACTAAAGCAACAACAAGAAAATTCTGAAGACTGTCTTAAGTTCTCAACTTAAGTAACTAGAAAAAAAAGAAATAATAATGTGCACATTGGAGAAAAGGAAGCATGCATTTTTGTTCCTTTAGGGAAGGGAAAGAAGACAATTAAGCCCAGTATAGGCAGGGGTCAAGTACGTGGCCATAAAATAAGAAAAATGCACCCGCATGGAAGACCTGGAAGAAGCTCCTGGCTCCTGTCTTTGGATTGGCACAGCTCCAGCCGTTGCAGCCTATTGGGGAGTGAACCATTGGATGGAAGACTTCTCTCTCTCTCTGCCTCTCCTCTCTTTGTGTAACTCTGACTTTCAAATAAATAATAAATAAATCTTTAAAAAAACAAAAATATGAAATCTTTCAGTGTGAAATAGTCTTCATTAATATACTTTCTGAAAATTTCTTGAGCATGATTTTTTTTTGCAATATGAATTACTAACACAAAGTACTCTAATCAGATGTTTTGCTGTTTGAAAATTTTGGTTTAATAATTGTCTATGTTAATGAATGTAGGAAAATCAATTACTTTGTTAACTACTACTAAAAAACCTTTATTTTTATTGTATAGAATTTTTTATAATGTTTGTAATAATCTTTGTGTGAAAATGTAGTAGAGTAGTTTTTTTTTCAAAAATTCAAAAGAAAAAGTTTCAAAATGTAATTTTTTTCAATGTTGAAATAATAGCTTCAGTGTATTGAATGTGAATGTAAGATCTTGGGTCTTTGTAGTTTATCAGTTCTGCGTTTTGTTGAAAATCAGGAACATGGTGAATATATTCACAGCAGATTCCCTTAGTAGGTATTTTGGTTGGGTTGGAAAGAGAATCTTGGTTCTGTGATTCATGAAGCCAAATTTACCAAGAAAACATATTTTATTCAGTAAACATATTACATGTTTGTGCAGCATCTTATATGATTTGTGCCTTTTTAAGGTCAAGGAGAGAAAGCAGGAGTGGTTAGTTCTGATTGGACGCTGTCCGTGGTACCCACATGGGATCACTGAGTTGAGGACATTAGCAGAACATCTGCAGCAGTGTCTTAGGAAGCGTTAAATTCTTCCATATTACAATAAAACAGGCTACTTGAGTAAATAAAAAATGGATGCAATCATCACATAATTAGATCAAGTGTTGGAGATTTTCCTGTTATCTCGACAATTTTTGCATTTTTAATAGGTAAACCAGGTCATCAATGAATTTTGGCTTGACTCCAGAATCCAAATTGACAATAACACCCTGTTAATAATCAAGAAGAAATATGGATATTGATATTGACTAAACTTGTGTTTCCTGTATTATAGTTCAAAATCACATTGTATAAGAATCTTAGACTTATATGACTACATTGATAAAGGAAATAGGGACTTTCTAGTAGACCAATTTCTTTCCATAGCATGTGATTTAGTCTTCATGATATAATATCAATCTGTGTTTTTTTATACCGCAGCTGTGAAAATTCACAGAAAGGGGGAATTTATCAAAAAGCACACATGAATCAAAACTTCTTTTGTAGAGAGAAATGATCCTGATAATCTCCTGTTAGTAAAATGTGCTGTAAGTTAGAATTGAGCCCCATTTGCAAAAGAATCATTATGTCCTCATTGGAACTCTAAGCTCCACTCCATTGAATTAGCCCCTTATCCCTGGGCAGGATTGTCATATTTAGCAAATGAACATACAAGATTCCCAATAGAATTTGCATTTGTTATAAACAACTATTAAGTTTTTAGTAAGTTAGTATGTCACAGATATTTGATACATGTTAAGTTAGTATGTTACACATATTTGATACATATTTATGCTAAAATTTATTGATTTTTTAAAATTCAGTATCACTACATTCTATATTTTGCCTGGCAACCCAAATATTATTGTATTATACAGTTACTTCTTAAAGACTAATTTTATGTGCTGTTGATTATCATAGTTTACTGGAAATGTGGTAAATTAACTTATCTTATAATGTATTTGACTTATAAGGACTTTGATTTATAGACTTTAAAAAATAAGTAAATCTGCATATCATCTTGAAGTACCATACTGGAAATATTGAGTATTTCACCTTAATATGATTCATTTCTAATCATAGGAACGTAGTGATCAGCATTGTTTTATGAAAATTATGTATATTCTGTGGAGCAGATTTTCATCTTGGTCAGCTATGTTGGGCTTACAAAATCTTAATCTTAATTTAGTATAGATTTTTGAATACTAACGTATTTCTTTTAGTATAAATTTTGTTCTTGTAGTTTTGTACACTTGTCTGCAACTGAAGTGGATAGGAGGGTACCATGACTTGAGAGCAAGGCTTTTAATGGCATTCTCAGAGGGCAAACCTTTTACCCTTGGGAGGAATTATGTTTATTGAAGTTTGAGTCCATGTAACTTTACATTTATATCTTATGATTACCTTAAACTCTAAAAAAATTGAGACTCCCAAAGCTCTTTTTTCTCAATAGCTTATGTGATGCCAGATTTGTCAGCCTAAAGGTGTCCTGGAGTAAATTAACAGTTCAAAAGGACATAGCCTTTTATTTTTAAAAATATTGTTTTTTTAAAAAAGTAAATGTTCCAACAGCACAATTTCCTAAAAACTTGGATGATTTTTTGTTCCAGAGGATTCTTTGCATTCTAAAAAAAACATTAGCATGGTTAATATCAGATGTATCATGTGATGAAGTAAAACGTAATAAGGGACTTTTAGCTTTTTAGATGCATTTCTGTCATGTTTTCTAAATAAAAATGCAGTTACATGATTTTTCAGAGAATATCATGTATGAATATTCTTTTCTGGGATGACTTTTTGTAATTACAATTATTTTTTATAATCAATAAGGTAAAATAAGTAAACATTGTTTTAATCATTTCTTTAATAAAGATACTTTTTTCAGTGTAATAGCCTAAGGGCAGACTATAACTTTGGTTGTTCCAAATAAAATTAGAAATTTTGTTTTTATGGTGTCTTGGAACAAAAAATGGGAGCCTGATGGGTATTTTCAATGATCGTAATTTGAAGATAGTCAAACTTTTGTACAAAATCTGGCTTTCAGAAAACTATAGCAAGATCTAATTGGCAACTATGTGGTTTGAACATAAACTGCTATGCAATCGTTCCTGTAATCTTCTGTAAATAGTATAACACTGGCATTTATCTTCTAGATGAAATGAATGATCATCAGAGTACACTCTCCTACATCCTGATTAATCCGTCTCCAGATACCAGACTAGAGCTGAATGATGTTGTGTAAGTTGATCTCATATCTCATCTAGGCATGTATTTTTAGAAAACTACTAATGTATTTTATTTTTTTTTATCTCTGTCAGTATACTTATTTTTGCAGTATTTAGAAATCCTATGTATAATTCAATAAACAAGTGAATATGATGTGTTGTTTAGTGTAATACTCTACCCTCAAAAATAGATTATAGAATTCTTTAAAAGAGTGGTATAAAGTAGGAAATGATGACAAAAATTCCATGTTGTGTGAGCTAATATATATTTAGAGAAATAAAAGAAACCCAATGGAATTATAAGAAAATAACTAAAAAAGTGAAATATTTCACACTATCAAGATGCCTTAAAGATCCTGAATGCCAAAGTAAAACAGGTGAAGGCATGTGTTATGGGAATAATTTTATTTATTTAAAATACGGATTTTGCAAATACAATTACAGCAAGACTGCCCTAAAGATGGCTAAGTTATTTTCCCTGACTTCAAATTGCCTACATTATAACTATAAAATTGTAACTTAAGAAAAATAAAAATATGACTTTGGTGTATTTAGACATCGTTTAGACAAAATTAGACATCATTTGAGTAACATAGACAATGCTTTTCTAAATTTAAAGTGGAAAATATTATTATGAGTTAGAGCGGTTACAAGGATGTCAGACTTAAACTAAACTTTGAAGGGTAGCTGGGACTTGCGTTGGTAGAGAACAGAGGACATTGTGGAACATGAAATATGGCCTGAGAAAAAGCATACTATGTTGGCCGGCGCCGTGGCTCAATAGGCTAATCCTCCACCTTGCGGCGCCGGCACACCGGGTTCTAGTCCCGGTCGGGGCGCCGGATTCTGTCCTGGTTGCCCCTCTTCCAGGCCAGCTCTCTGCTATGGCCAGGGAGTGCAGTGGAGGATGGCCCAGGTGCTTGGGCCTTGCACCCCATGGGAGACCAGGAAAAGCACCTGGATCCTGGCTCCTGCCATCGGATCAGCGCGGTGCGCCGGCTGCAGCGGCGGCCATTGGAGGGTGAACCAACGGCAAAGGAAGACCTTTCTCTCTCTGTCTCTCTCTCTCACTGTCCACTCTGCCTATCAAAAATTAAAAAAAAATTAAAAAAAAATTTAAAAAAAAAAGCATACTATGTGGGAACTGCATATCATGTGTCAGCTGGCTCTTTGACTAGAGTTTGTATTTTTAATAATACCACTGTTTAAATTGTTAAAGATGATATTGGAAACATAAATAAGGAAGGGCCTTGGATGACAAAATAAGGAACTTAAATTCTGCTTTATCCATGATGGGCAGCCCTTGGACATACATGAGTGAGAAGGAAGCCAGGATTTAGAAACATTTTGCAGTCATTGATATAAGCCTTGGTACCAAGTTCCTAAGGAGATTCTGCTCTTGGGAGCAGGTCCTGCCTGGGCTACAAGTGATGCTTACCCAAGGGGACTAGTGACATGAAACAGGTGCTAAAGATCGAGAAGTCTTCGTGGGTGTTAGGTCCACAGGATGCTTAACTTCTAGAATCAGGAAAATATGGTCAGAGACTAACAAGGATTGAGAACATTTTGTGATGCAGAGCATAAAATGGATCTATGCAAGTAGTTTGGAATTAAATCTATTTATATGCAAAGAAATAGAAGACTGTGTTTCTATGTTTCCAGGTTTGTGGGAGAGTCTGCCTGGGGAGGAGAGGAGAGGATAGGGTTTTGTTTTGTTTTGTTTTGTTTTGTTAGGTTTTGTTTTGTTTTGTTTTGTTTTTGAATTAGCTCTGCGAGAAGCAAAATGATTGGGTTAATAGGATGAACTAACATAGATGTGGGCCTGACTGTGGGGAAACCAGGTAAGAAAAACAGCTGGGAGGGAGCTAAGAATCTATCAGAGCGTCAGTATCCCAGACTGTTTGTTATGAAAGTAAACAGTAAGACTCGGTGATTGTGTTAGCAACTGGAAAAAGTAGGACAGCACAGCTATGAGGTTTCATAACTTTGTGATTGCAAAAAGAGAAAAAAAAAAATTACACATCAAAGCAAGTCAGAATGGGGGACAATTTTCCAACATGGAGATAGGATTTTTGGCTGGGGGAAAAAAAGATGATGCTCTGGGCCCCCATATATTCTTGAAAGTGCTAAGTGTAAGAGCCTAGAGAGCACGGAGCTTTGAGGAGAGGTTAGTCCTATACAGAAAATACCTTAGTTTTTATTTCCTATGTGAAGAAATCTAAAAAGGGATTGATTTTTTTCAAAGAGTTCCATAAAGAAGAAAACGTAGAGGATTATTGACCTGCTTGGTAGAATAGGGAATGGTTTTCAAAAACATGTTAGGAAAATATAGCAGCAGGATTGAGTCTGGCCCAAAATAAATTTGAAAAGATTCCTAAGGTTTACCTAGGTGACAACTATCAATTTTGCAATGCTTTTTTTTTTATTGCTATCTGATAATACTGGTTAGAATATAGGAGTTTTGGAGATTCAGATTAATAGCAATTTAAGCTACTTGGCTTCTTAAGGCATTTTCAAAACTTACATCCAGGGTGATGTTGAATTTATGGAGGTCTTTTTTAAGATCTTATTTATGGTGCATCTAGGTTTCAGTTGCTCATCCTGGAGACCTCAGCTGTGTGACTAAAATAAAAACAAGCTGTTTTTTTTCTCAGCAAAAAAATTATACATATCTTCATTCTTTTAATAACCCGTAATTATAAGCAATTTAAATTAAATCTTTATCTCTGTTACTCCCAAACTTTTCTCTTTCTCAATAACTACAATTGCTTTAGTTTTATAGTTTAATTAAGATGTTTGTATTTATATTTTATAATAAGTTCTAAGTTTCTTGAGCCTAACACGATTATTTTGCATGATTATTTTAAACACAATGTTAGTCTTTTTAGTTTATGTACATGTCCTTCCATCAAATATGTATGTTTATATATGCAAATAGTTTGCAAAACTTTTATACTTATAATTAAAATAATATGTTACAATACAGCCTAAAGATAAAATATATATATTTTCAGAGAATTTTCTTTTAGACACTCATTTTATGTCAATTGTAAGCTAAAACATCAGTTTGGCTGCTATTAAAAAATCCTTGCTCACATCAATAAAGTGATCTGTATTTGTGGCATTGAGATAATTAAATTTCAGAGCAATGATCAATTATCATGAAAAATGCCTACCCTGACAAGTAGGGTATAAAACCACAGTTTGAGAAATTTCCTTTACTGGATTCATAGGTTTAGTAGGGGTTGTAATAAGGGAGGGGACTTTTACCACTGCATCAGTGAATTTTGGGTATGTTGGATTAAACTTACTCCTGTATGTTTTTCTAAATATTAACTTCAAAAGTTCATTGTAAATGAAGGAACATCATTAATTTGATTCAAAGAACAGTAAATCACTAGGTAATATGGTTTTTAAAAAGCTTAATGTGCACTAATAGTTTTCTTCATCGATCTACAATGCTATTGATATTTAAAGTAGTTACAAAGCAGTGTGCGGAGATAGCAAAATCTAGTAAATAGACCCAAGGACACCAGTCTCAACTGTTATTTGATTGAGGACAGTAGACTGATGTGCTTTCCATTGCTTTTTCTTTCTCTTTTTAATGTATATTTTATGAATATTTCTTCTCCTGCCTCTTTTTAAAGATTTATTTATTTACTCGAGAGGCAGAGATACAGAGAGGGAGAGACAGAGAAAGGTCCTCCATCCGCTGGTTTGCTCCACAAATGGCTGCAATGACCAGAGATGGGCCAATCCAAAGCCAGGAGCCAGAAGCTTCTTCTGGGTCTCACACGTGGGTGCAGGGGCCAAGCACCTGGGCCATCTGCCCCTGTTTTCCCAGGCCGTCAGCAGAGAGCTAAATTGAAAGTGGAGCTGCTGGGACTGGAACTGGCAGGCATATGGGATGTTGGCGCTGTAGGTGCCTGTTTAACCTACGATGCCACAGTGCCAGCCCCTCTCCTTTTGTTTTTAAGGAGAAAAACACGATCTTAATTAGAGTTCTCTCCTTTAAATTAATTTCTCCAGGCATTTCTTATTCTTCCCCCTTAAATTATTCTAGAAATATGAAAACAAGACTCTCAGAAGCGGCATTGCATGTGTTTACTTTCTGCTGTCCCTGCTGAACCCGCAGTGGCTTCCCACTGCCTTTCCAGAGAAAACAAACTACTTGCCTTGAAACCTGAGGTCCCTCACCAGCTGTTTCAGCCTTTCTTTATACTTTCCCTATCACAACCCCCTGCTCGGAACTGTTTCAAAGGTCAAATACATTTTCTGTTCATATCAGGGATCTTCCTCCTCTGTCCCCTGATTGTCCCACCCTAGGATGGCATCTCTGCTCTGCTCAATCCTGGAGACAAAGGTTCAACCTGTCACTGCAGTGCGGCATTCCCTCGTTCTCAGTTGTCCTTGCCTTCTTGGTGCGATGTTTGGGATTCCCTTTACTTCTTACTATCTACTTCAAAGGTGATATGCCAGTCTGTAGGGCGGGAGTCAGGCTGTGTTATTCTTGTATTCATAGGCACCAACACAGTGTCCTACAGGTGTTCAAATCACGGTGGCTGATGACATATGTCTCTGGGCAGTCTAAAGTGAAGCGTCTCAAAACAAATGATAGTATTAAGGAAATGTATGACTTTTTTCTTGTTTAGTAAACTGAATTAAAATTATTTTATACTTTGTTATTATCATCTGCTATTCAATAACTGGAATTTTATATGAATAATTTCCCAGCTAATTAAATAATAAATATACATAATGTTTGCATTTATTAAATCATGTATTTTACAATACTCAAATTAGAAGAGACATAGAAAATATTTATATTAAATTACTAATTTTATGAATGACAAAAATAACACTAAGAATAGTTAAATAATGAAAGAATCATCTCTTTGAATGAAAATGACCAAAGTAAGAGAATAAACAAAATACCAAAATAAATCATGAAAATTTGATAAGGTTAAGTTGCTAAAATTGATCATAATTGAATTTTTTTGATTCAACAACATCCCTCATTATAATCTTTTTGAGAATGTAAATAGTAATAAAAACACTGCAAAAAATTATAGGCTAAGAAAACAGTAAATCCTTCCATTACTGTTTCATATGGAGACATAGTTTACATAACCCGAAAGCTTGACAAAGTAGAAATATAAATTACCCAGGTGAATTAATGTTGTTTTTATTTACAATTACAAGCATATTTTCCTTTTTTTTTTATTAGGTACTTAATCCGACCAGATCCACTGTCCTACCTTCCAAACAGTGAAACCAGTCGAAAAAACAGCATCTGCAATGCCACTGGACAAGACGCACGGGAGGAAACTCAGCTTTGATAAAAAGAAAACAGGAAACTTACTTTATTCTACAAGGGTCTTGATTGAACTAACAAAGTGAAAGGAACCAGACTGGAATATATTACATTCTCTCATATTAAAAAGAAAATCTATTCTCTTACTATTCCATATCATTTTAAAACTTAATATACTATTTATTGGTTCTTCCTCTATTAATATTTAAAGGATAAAAATGGAATGATTTTTGAAGACCTATATTAAAATACTAAAATAAAAATTTTATATGTAATTGTTCAACAGTAATTCAAACTGTATGGAGTCAATTTTAAAAATTATTAAAGTTTTATGAAAGTAAACTAAAAATCTTAATTATATTTGGTGTATCACAATGAGCATAGAAGAGCATTGCTCCTCTTATAATTTAAATGGTCATATTAAATTTAAATTTGCGGTTTTACAAAATTGAGCTCATCGTAAATGTCTAATCTTCTCCACCAAGAAATTCGTATGGCTGCCTTTTATGTAAGAATCATGGTTTTAAAGTATAAAACCTTAAATCATTTCAACCTTTTTTTTGTTCTGCCTTTTCATAAGCTATCATATCCACCTTAGTATTCAAGATGCTCATAGCATGTTTTATTACACAGATGAAACAAAAATATAAACAAAAAGAAATATTAAGGACCTGAGCTTTTTGATAATTTGTGTCTATCACACTGTTTATACCAAGAAAAGTATACTAAAAACAAATATCTAGTGTCTTAAAAGAGTGCCTAGCATATAGAAAATATGTAATACATATTTGTCTACTTAAATCCAATAATTGAAATGTTAACTGGATTCCTTGAGCCACACAGTAATGATTTTCATTAGTCTGTTGAGCGTTAACATTTTTCATATAATTATTTAGTAAATTTCATTAAAAATACTGTAAAATGGAAAGAAAATTTATTCTTTTTATGGACTTTAAGGTCACTTAAAACATTAAAAGTCTCTTTATGTCTTTGATATTAAAATAATCACCTTGAAAATATGTCAAATATTTGAAAAACATTGTGAGGAAAATGTATAACATTAAAATAAGTGATTCTTGTCCCATAAGTTAAAATGAATGATGCAGTATAATTCGACAGTTATAAATTTAAATATATATTGCATCTTGGTGACTGCAAATGCTTTTATCTATATTTATCTATATTCCCCTACAGAAATGGACCAAAAATGCCAAGATAATGTCCACGTGGTTGACCAGGTAGTTGAAGTGAGTTATTGTGTTTCCATCGGAGAAACACTGATAGGTTTTTATTTTTCTTCTAAGGTTATATTTTTGTTTATTTGTTTACTTGACATTGAGTTTTAAGTCACCAAAAAATAGAAACCATACTAATAGAAAGGGACATTTTGCCCCATCTTTTAGTAATGAAACAGATAAATGGAAAATTGGAAAACATTTTTTAAAGGACAGCCTAATGTTCCCCCAATAATTCTACAGAGATAAAAATCTGAAATCAAAGACTTTAGCCATCATATAATTTGACTTCGAGAAAATGAAATCTTTTTTTTTTTAGTATTTTACATTTTCCACGTTTTATAACAGTAAGTCATCAAGAATTTTCCTAAGAAGGAGAGTTTATCTTTCCATCTTCTTTGATGAGATAGACAGAGGCAGACTATATTAAAACAGTTTATTTAAAATTGGGAGCATGCCTTAAAATTTAAATATTATATGCATATATATGTCTGTGTTTTAAACATGAAATAAATTTGACAAACACACATATTCACATATAGATTGTTGAAATTGAAGGCAGAATTGAACTAATACATGTAACAGAGAAGTAATTAGCAAACTTGCTTCATATTTGCACATCAATGGTAAGTATGATGTTTTTTGAGTTGACTTTTTTAATTTCATTAAGTTATTTTTAGGAATAAATATAAGATTTTACAAATATATTTCCCCACAAGATCTGAAGTTTAGTATTTTTGCATTATGACAGTTGTTAAGACTAGGGTTTTAAGCTAGGATATGATTATATTTCCTATAAAACTAAAAACTTTGTTTCATAAATTTAAAAATAATTATTTTTGATTATGAATATTAGTCCAAATTTAATATTTGACACTTCATATCAGCCTGCTGTAATAATAGCTTGTTAGTCTTTCTGTTATTTAAAGAATAAAAACATGCTTATAAGACTTTTACCAAACTGTTGCCTTTTTAAAACAATTATACTTGCACATGAAAATAAAACATAAAGTCAAAAGTAGCTATTGTATCACTTTGAGAATTGGTTTTGTTTATTGTCTGTGTACATTTTGCTACTAGTTACATTGAATTGCTTTAAAATAAAATTATTTCCAATGATGAAAAATCTTGGTGTTTTTTGGCAAAATGTTGGATTTCTTAGATACGTTGTTTTCAAACTATAAAATTCATTTGTCACTGTTATATCTCCAAGCCAAAATAAGCATGAGTGTGATCTCATGGAAAATACAGCAAGAACTAAACGGTTGGTGAGCTACTTTTTAACATGATAGGTTCTGAACAGTCACTGCACCATGCAGGAAAGGAGAAGATAAAAGGAAGGGGAGGATGGGAGAAATAAAAAGGGGGATGTGCACAACTGAAAGAAGAAAAAGGAAGGTGATAAAAAAATGAATTTAGGTGCCACTAAAGAAATATGATCCACAAAACAGAATAATGTCCCAAATACAGAAATACAAAAATTTATGGGGCAGAGGAGCAACTATTAAAGAAAAGAGAAATTATTTAAATGCTAAGTAGACTTCCCATTCCTGCCAAATCAAGTAGACACATTTCTCTCTGTCTCTCCTACTAAGAACAGCTAAAAACTCATAGATATTACACGCTAGACAGACATAAGGAGACTTGAACAGTGGATTAAGGAAGATAGGGTAGGCATCTCAGGACTTGAGCACAGCATGGTGATGACTTCCTGGGATTTCTTTCTGCCTCCTTCGTACCTGAACTGGGAAATACTTAATGGGCAGCGACAAAATGTACCCAAGAAAAACCTCCTCTGTCCTTGCACAGGACTGGCTCCAGCAACAAGCGCTGCATCCATGCATGAGATGTGGGCTGTCCCTGCATTGTAGAGCCAGGGAATGGCTTCTAGAATACAGAGTTGTCCACACATGCAGGTGCCACATGGCTCCCTCAGATGGTGTGTAGTGGCATGCCTCCAGTGAGATGCTTCCTGCTGGACAGCTTTCTCTAGCACGCCTCTGTTTAGATTTCTGGCAGGTTCTGCCAGTGCAGCTCCATAATGACTGGCATTCTGTAAGCCACAGCTGGGCACTTTGCAGTGGAGTATGGACTGCATTCCTCAGGTCTCTTCCAGAAGCCCATTTTTGTTGGCCCTGAAGATAACAAGTGCTACTTTTATCTGCTTCTACTATATGATTTTCAAGTCCTCTTTTTTGTTATTTATTTTATTAATTTTTTTCTTTTTTTCAAGTTCTCTTTACTTGTCATGAACCAATCTCACATTACTCCAGTGCTGTTAGAGTTAACAAGTCTCTATAAGATGCACTCTTTGTGCAAATCCCTGTAGGGCTTCTCTGAACTTGATGCTGGCTGATAACACAGTGCACAAATCAGCCCTTCTCTGTCTTCCTAAATATGAAAAAAATAAATATCAAGTTCTTAGTCTGCAAATCTTAGAGAAAGATTTTGGGTAAATTTAACAAATTAAATAGCCCTTGTTAGGAAACATTTTAGAAAATGATGTCCTTATCCTGTTCAACATTAAAGCATTTTGATCTCATCTACTCTGCTTTGTGTAACTCTCTGCATTGTTCTTTACTTTGAGGAAGGGAGAACTAGACACATAGATGGAAATGAGAGTATAGAAGTGGTTCTTAGGCCGGCGCCGTGGCTCAATAGGCTAATCCTCCGCCTTGCGGTGCCAGCACACCGGGTTCTAGTCACGGTCGGGGCGCCAGATTCTGTCCCAGTTGCCCCTCTTCCAGGCCAGCTCTCTGCTGTGGCCAGGGAGTGCAGTGGAGGATGCTCCAAGTGCTTGGGCCCTGCACCCCATGGGAGACCAGGAGAAGCACCTGCCTCCTGGCTTCAGATCAGCGCGGTGCGCTGGCCATTGGAGAGTGAACCAATGGCAAAGGAAGACCTTTCTCTCTGTCTCTCACTGTCTATAACTCTACCTGTCAAAAAAAAATAAATGATAATTCGGCTTACAATTAAATTGTATACTACATTCTTAGATAATTGTATTTTATTACTAAAATCTAAAGTCATTCCAGTAGAAATAAAGTGATCTGTTTTTGTAAGTATAAGTAATATAAAGTTTCACAAATTGTACTGTAGCTAAACTCCAAAGAAATATATTGTTCTAACCGAAGATTCATATTTTCTCCATTTTGTATCATATGGAAAATGTGTTAGATTCTAATGATAGCACATAGGTATCTTAGTACTTGCAAATAAAATGAAATTCCAGGGAAAGGTGTTTTGCCCAACGGTTAAAATGTTTCCTAGGACATTTGCATTCTACATTGGAAGGCCTGGGTTGAGTCCATGTTCCATACTTGATTCTGATTTCCTGCAAATGTGAACTCTGGGAGACAGCAGGTGATGGCTCAGATCCTTGGGTCCTGCCACTCATTGTAAAAATCTTGGATTAAATCCCTGGTTTCTGGTTAAGGCATGATCCAGTCCTAGGTATTGTGGACATTTGGTTATTAACCAACAGAAGAGAGTTCTCTGTCTCTTTCTTTGGGTGTGTCTTTGCATCTCAACTTAAATAAATAAATGAATTTAACATTTTTTAAAAATTCCCAAAGGAAATATTTTAAAACTTACAGACTATAAATACCCGATCCATATGTTACCAGTATCTTTGTAGACCCAGAAAGCTTGATTGAGTTTTCAGAAAACAAAGATTTATGTTTTTTTCTCTGAAAACTCTCAACTTACAAAAGACAAAGTCTATGAGACACTTACTTGCCAGATATGAAGTGGATACTGAGGTTAAGATTTGTAAAAATACTCCTTAGCCCAATAGGTGCAATTAAATAAGATATTGCTAAAATAATACTTTTAGAGGCATAAGTATTTATTGTTACTGATTAGTATCATATTCAAAAATATATGAATTTTCATCAATTATAATGGATTCTAACTTTTAGTTGAGAGCAGAGGATGAAGCATGCACAAATTTCGCTATTCTATGATTTCACAAAGAAATTGACACTTTGTGATACATATTTGGTAATACAAGTTTGGCCATGTACTGCAATAATAGACAAACACCATGATCTCAAGTATATTTATCTGTAACAAAAACCAATGCTTGAAATTTTTTTAACTTTTATTTAATGAATATAAATTTCCAAAGTACAGCTTATGGATTACAATGGCTTCCCCCCCATAACATCCCTCCCACCCGCAACCCTCCCCTTTCCCACTCCCTCTCCCCTTCCATTCACATGAGGATTCATTTTCGATTCTCTTTATATACAGAAGATCAGTTTAGCATACATTAAGTAAAGATTTCAACAGTTTGCTCCCACACAGAAACATAAAGTGAAAAATACTGTTTGAGTAACCTAGTTATAGCATTAAATCACAATGTACAGCACACTAAGGACAGAGATCCTACATGAGGAGTAAGTGCACAGTGACTCCTGTTGTTGACTTAACAAATTGACACTCTTGTTTATGGCATCAGTAATCACCCTAGGCTCTTGTCATGAGTTTCCAAGGCTATGGAAGCCTTTTGAGTTCACCGACTCTGATCATATTTAGACAAGGCCATGGTCAAAGTGGAAGTTCTCTCCTCCCTTCAGAGAAAGGTACCTCATTCTTTGATGACCTGTTCTATCCACTGGGATCTCACTCGTGGAGATCTTTCATTTAGGTGTTTTTTTTCCCCCAGAGTGTCTTGGCTTTCTGAAATACTCTCATGGGCTTTTCAGCCGGATCCGCATGCCTTAATGGCTGATTCTGAGGCCAGAGTGCTGTTTAGGACATCTGCCATTCTATGGGTCTGCTGTGTATCTCACTTCCCATGTTGGATCATTCTCTCCCTTTTTTATTCTATCAGTTAGTATTTGCAGACACTAGTCTTGTTTATGTGATCCCTTTGGTTCTTAGTCCTATCATTATGATCAATTGTGAACAGAAATTGATCACTGGGACTAGTGAGATGGCATTGGTGCATGCCACCTTGATGGGATTGAATTGGAATCCCCTGGTTTGTTTCTAACTCTACCGTTTGAGGTAAGTCAGCTTGAGCATGTCCCAAATTGCGCATCTCTTCCCTCTCTTATTCCCACTCTTATATTTAACAGTGATCACTTTTCAGTTAAGTTTCAGCACTTAAGAATAACTGTGTATTGATTACAGTATTCAACCAAAAGTATTAAGTAGAACAAACAAAAAACAATACTAAGAGGGATAACATATTAAGCTGCTCATCAACAGTCAGGGTGAGGGCTGATCAAGTCACCGTTTCTCATAGTGTTCATTTCACTTTAACAGGTTTCCTTTTTGGTGCTCAGTTAGTTGTCACCGATCAGGGAGAACAAGTGGTATTTGTCCCTTTGGGATTGGCTTATTTCACTCAGCATAATGTTTTCCAAATTCCTAAAAGGGATCACTTTTCAGTTAAAATTTAAACACCTAAGAATAATTGTGTGTTGATTACAGAGTTCAACCAACGGTACTAGAACAAAAAAATACTAAAATGTATAAAGTATTACATTGTACATCAACCGTCAGGACAAGAGCTGATCAAGTCACTGTTTCTCATAGTGTCCATTTCACTTCAGGAAGTTTCCCCTTTGGTGCTCAGTTAATGCTTGAAATTTTTAACATACATTTTTTAAGATTTATTTATTTATTTGAAAGTCAAAGTTACAGAGAGAAGGGGAGCAACAAAGAGAAAGATCTTACATCTATGGGTTCACTCCCCAGAGAGCTGGGCCAGGCCAAATCCAGGAGCCAGGAGCATCAAGGTCTCTCATGTGGATAGCAGGGGCCTAAGCACTTGGGCTGTCTTCTGTGGCTTTCCCCAGGCCATTAGCAAGGAGCTGGATTGGAAATGGAGCAGCCAGGACACAAACTGGTGCCCATATGGGATGCTGGTGTTGCATAAAAGAGTTATAAGTTATAAATATACATTCATTTGAATAATAATAATCACTGAAGTGATATAAACACAATAGAAATATTTATTCATTTTTGCTAAGAATTCAAACTCAGACGTAAGCTATGAAAAAAACAATAAACGCTTGACAGTGTACTTGAATTTTAGATGTTCTTGTACCAACTAAGCTATAAATTAATTGATTTTGGAAATAGACTGTATGATCGGTTTTTAATGAA